TCGGGGTCTTGAGAGACATCTATAAACTCAGAATACACTTTCCTTTAGGAATAGAGTGAAAGAGCAAGAGGACTTTTGTACCCAAGGTAGTTTATGGGATATATTTGCTTGGCCCCTTGAGGGCCATATATATATGATATATATGATATGGAGTCATGGTGATAAGAGCATTAAAGATGTATTAGGAATGCCCAAATTAGTCAGAGAACAACTGTCCATCCATATTTAGTTTCCAAACTTTGAGCTGTTTTTTTTTAAACCCATAGATAATTATATGTTTAAATTGAGTGTTAAATTTTCTGAAAGTGTGAATTTTGTATATTTGCACTCTAGCTGCTGTAGATTTTTCTGCTGCTAACTTATGAATCACAAAACACTAGGATGTCTTGGTTTTTCATTTCAGGGGCGTGTACCAGGGCTCAAAGCAGTAACTTTGTTGTTACAAGGTGCCGAATATGTTGTTAACCATATTGCAATACACTTCAAAGGGAAGGTTCAGATTTTATTTTTAAAATATTTTCATTTTTTATCATTTGAATTTTATATCCATGTACTCCACTCATACATGCTGAGCCTACAGAAAGGGTTATATATATTATGAAATGGTCATTTTTCTGAAGAGAATATTTTGCTTGAAATGCAAAGGACCGAAAGAGATTTGTAGGTTGTTGATTTTGTTACTTCATACTGGAACTTTGAAAAAAAATTTCATCAAATAAAGTTTGGTTTTCTACTTTTATTTGTGTGAATGTTTTAGAACGATTATTTTGGGTACAAAATCCTCTTGCAATTTGTTTGAAATACATAACTTATCAGTTATGCCTGAGTAGTATATTTTAGGAAATCCCTCTCTATCTCTTAACTTGAATAAAATGAAATTGCCATGTTTTTTAAGGTCAAACGTGGTTGGATGTCAGCAATTTTATATGGCTGAAGTCAATAATCAGAGAAAAGCTAAAGGGAAAGGAAAGAATACAAAATAAGAGAAATCATAGGGTGACACCTAGGGTATGAGGGAGAATTCATGCACACTAATTATGGCTCGTGACCAATGGCTTAGACTGGGTTCTCTGTAGAAACAAAATCATTGAAGCTTATCTCTCACGGAAATGGCTCAAAGAGTTGCAGGTATGGGTAAATCCAAGTTTGGGCAGGTTCCAAGTTGTGAGTCAGGTGTTGGGTTGGAAGCTTCTCTTGACCAGCATAACTGCAGGAATGTGACAGGCTAGTGGCTGTAGTGGTGAATGAATCCAAGGTCAGCAGATCAGATGAAAGGCCACTGATGACTCCCAGGATCAGCAGGCAATAAGGCAGGCTGTTAGCTCAAGTCCAAAGAAGGTGAAGTCAATGAGCCATATGCAGGATCCAGTCCTAGCCAAAAAGGATACAGGATCTCCCATGGCATCTACTTAACATTGAAAGCAGACTACACACCAGAGGAGAGTGATTGGCTGTGACTTAACTAAGTGTTGCATTCCACCCTAATCTTATTCTATTACAGAGGTTTACAAGTGATTGGCTGTGATTACATGGTGTTAGGTCAGGTTTTGGAGATTACTTGGTGTTAAATGCCAACCACTGAGAATCCTGACTCAGCCAAGTTGACACAAAATCTATCACAGTCCATTTTTTTGTGTCTTGAGATATGTGTGCATTTAAAAATTTAGATTACAAAACTGGCAGTTGTAAGGGACAGACTAAGGTTTACAGAGGCATATTTTTCTGAAACTAAGCAAGAGTTAGGAGAGACCTGGTGGTGGAACCATTACATTTTGGTGTGTTATCCATAAGGTGGGCAGGTTGAAACCACCAATCAGGCCTCAGGAAAACGATGGGGCTTTCTACTCCTGTAGCAAGTAAGTCTTGGAAACTCAAGGGAGAGTTCGATCCTGCCCTGTAGGGTTGCTGTGAGTTGGCATGGACTTGATGGCAATGAGTTTTTGAGTAAACAGGGAATAATGCATACATCTTTCATGTTCAAGAACATTGCTGTCATACTACCTCTTTTTTATGTTTTATTGGTATATAATTTACATGTACAATTCAATATTCAGATGTGTGTACAATCATCACAGTAAATTCTGGAACATTTTCTTCTTTCATGTACTCATTGTTAGCTACCCCCCC